GAGTAAAGAGAGAGAGCAGGTCAGAGGAAGCTGATCACAAATAGTGTAGCATTTATTCCTCCATTTGAATATTATTTGTCACGCCCGGAATTTCTATCCGAAATTCCCGACGCTTACATGTGTGTTAAATCCTCATCCAGGAATCAGCCGAGACACACAATAACAAATTGATAATAGAGTACTATTAAACAGCTAATTAATATTCGCAAAATAGTAAATTATTACAGAGGTGGATAGTTCCTCTCAAAGAATAAAATTCTACGCAGCGGAAATAAAACGAATACGGAACAGCTATCGCGACTCCACTCCACAAGCAACTTGACCCGAACAAAACCTAATCCTCCAGATCATCACCTTCACTGAAATACTCCTCCTCTGATGAATGAATATTGCAAGAATGAACATATGACATACTCAATAAGCCACACAGCAAATATGCAAGTGCACAGGATAAATAAGGATGGCATAGTAAAGCTCATTTGCATAAACATCATTTAATAAACATTTTAGAGAATAATAAAACAGTTGAATAATTAATCAGTATTAAATAAACACTATACAACACACCCATGTTGCATAGGCCCAACCTCATCTGAACAACCAGCCCCGGTTGTACAAATCAAACCTCCATACCAGGAATATACCATTCCAAACCAGGAGTCAAATTAATTAACACAATATTATCATTAATGAGTAGTGTGAGACTAATCATGAAAAACATTGTTAAACTCACTCATAACCGCGGGCACGGCTATTCGAATAGTTTTACTCTGATCAGAGGTACACCACTGTACCCACAAGACACAGCTCCACAACATGTCACCATGCGCCTCAATACCACCACGGTACCTCGGAAAGGAACTGTGACAGCACCCCTTACACAACACAACTCACTACAGTGCACCGTTCCTGGATCGTAATCTCCCCCTCAAAACCAGAGGCAATGGACTCCCCAGCGACCCCCACGGACTTCTCGCCGCTTCACAGTCTGGCACCCCGTAATGAATAATACTATACAAAAGGTAAAGCCGTTGCCCATGCTGGCTTGTGGTTGGCACAGTAAATGTTTCACAACAGTAGCTCGCGAACCGGTCCTTAATTGTCATGAGCACAACCATCAAAACCATATGCTCACAACCCACCTTTAATCAGGTTTTAATTATCAATTATTTATCATAACATGATTACACATAGTGAGCTACCATTAAATATAACCATGATTAATAATGTAATATAATTCATCCTATTAATGAGCTAATGTTTCTAAGAAGGTCTAAGCAATTATATATACATATAGCATTTAGCTGAACCAATCCAATATATAAGGTCCAAGCTAATCAAATTATAACCCATAGGAAAATAAAGTCATCTTCGGCCATAAATTAATTGGGAAAGGCTCACCACTCGATGACATTCGAAAATAATGCATAAGTTGAAATAAAACATTAGCTTTAAACGGGTTCAACATGCTCAAAGGGTTATTTGGGATCTGTGTGACTTGCCATGAGCTACCGCAAACGCTTCCGAACCTTCCTCAACAAAAACGCTCTCCTCCGGAACGTCGGAAACTAAAGCAAAACAACAAAATCAACAAAACAGTACAAAAACAAGCATAAACAATACATGTGGATATTTTTAATATGTAGATCTTGATTTTAGAAAAATTTAGCAACTTGAACCACTCGAATCCGAGTTACGATGATTTAGTTATGAATTTCCGAAGTTTAATCGATTTTCATCTAATAAAGAAAACTAAAAAAAGGTTTATGACGTCATGATGACATCATCATCACCGGCATGGCGCGGGCGACGCGACCACCGGCGCTAGAGGGGTCGGCCGGGCTATCTAAGGGCACCTACGCGTAGAGGACGACGACGTGAACTCACCGGTACAAGAAAACACGACGGACGACGACGAACGGCGGCCGGCGACGAGCTCCGACGGCTGCACGGCTCGGGTCGGCAATGGCGGCAGCTCTCCGGCGACTGGTGATGGCGGCAAAGGGGCGGCCGGGGTTCCTCTCCTCCGTGTGCACCCGACGACGGCGACGGACGGCAACGGCAACGGCTACCGCGGCGGCGCGGCGCGGCTGGACGGTCGCCAGTGGCGGCGGCGGCTAGGGCAAAGTGGCGGCGGCGCTACGGGCGACGAGGGAGCTCGGGACTTGGGGCAAACGGAAGAGGACGACTAGGGGATGCTATTTATAGGCTCGGATTAGAGAGATCGGACTCCAACTGAGAGGAATCGAAACCGGAAAAATCTAAAGTTAGTTTGGATGGATAAACTCAAAACGAACTCGATTTGGTTTATCCGGGCGAAATTGGCCTCCGAGACTTTAGGGGAAAGGGAGAGGATAAGGAGATGATTTCCCCTCAAGCAATCGGACTCGGGGGCAACCGGTTGAAGCGGATTTGGTGGAGAGGCGGCAGCGCTCGGACTTGGCTCGGCCGGCTGGAGGTAGGGAAAGGGTCCGACATGTGGGCCCCACATGTCGGAGGCTAGAGGAGGAGGGCGGGGCGGCTCGGCTTGGGCCGGCATGGGCCGCTCGGCCACGTGCGAGGGGAGAGAGATGTTGGGCCGAAAACGGCCCAACGGCTTAGGGGAGGATTTTAAAGAATTTTTCAATTAAAATAATTCGTGAAATGATGTTTCATTTATTAAAAATACTTTCCTTGCTCAAATAATTCCCAGAAAAATCTAGAAAATAGATAAACAAGCAAAGTATTTAATGGAATTTTATCTAGCTTAATTTTATGTTGAAATTTTTCCTAGATTATTAGAGTTTAACTTGTAGGCTTTTAAAATAATTTCTAAAAAAATGATTTAAAAGATGAATTATTAAATTAGGCGATTTTCAGGGCGTGACATTATTTCTTTATCTTTCTCTTTCTTTTCTCTTGATATTCATAGAATGTAGCATAATTACTATTTTGGAATCTTCACTCGTGCGATTATATATATAATATCTCATCTTCCATGCTGATATCTTGGTAGCTTGCAGGCCATCTTCATTGGCGACCATTTTGTATATCTAATTCAATTCAATTGCAACATATTCCATCCCATGAATTGACTTAGGCACAAGTTGGTCCTCAATTAAATGAATAGGTAAACCATGATCCCTCAAAGCAGTCTCTACAAAAAAAAACTATTCTTCCCACTTGTTCTGATAACCAACAATGATATTCATAGCGAATGCATTGATCTGACATGTTGTGAACTAGTGCAAAACAGAACAAAGACTAGACATGTCATAAACTAGTACTTGCCAACAGCGTCAAAACATAATAAAGACCACCTACTATAGGTTAGATCAAAACCAGAGTGGGTGGAGAAGCAGAGGAGCTCCTAGATCCCACGACAAAATAGTCCAAGGAAGGAAACAATTACTGCGAATATTAGACATCCTGTATTGAATTGTTTTATTAGGAGGCTCGTATATATAACAGAACATAGAGAGAAGATAAGGTATGGCCTAGAGATAAGAAAGACTATGGTACAAAATAATCCTATCCTAATATAGCACAAATTCTAAATACATTAACAATGTGGACAAAGGCCATGATGACAATGGAAAGAAAGCCCCAAAGATGGCTAGTAGGGCATCGGAATGGTGACAGGAGGGCCTTTTGATGGTGACGTGATGCACGACGGCACTGGGTCAGGGGGCCGCAATTGTGGTGTGACAAGCACATCAAAGACTGTGCAGATGGACGGCACAATGGTGATGTTCATTACATAAGTGTGATACTACTATACTACTAAACTTGTGGACTTTAGCCAATCAACTCTCTCGGGTTGCGTTTAGAACTACAAGTTCCAATCTTCTACTCCCTCATTTTCTGTGTGCATGCTTCCCGAACAGCTAAACGTTTTTTTTTTGCAAAAATGTTCTATAAGAAATTTGGTTTAATACTACTTTCCATTTTTCAAGTTTTTTGGCTACTACTTATTTAATCATGCGTTAATGAGTTATCTTGTTTTTCGTGCGAGGAGAAGTTCTAACTCCTCCTGAACACAGCCTTAGTGATGATGATGCCTAGTACCTTACAGGCTATATTGGCCAACAATATCTGCAACTTGATATATACTTAAGAACAAGTACCATTGAACTAGCTTTGTTGATCAATTACCACTCATAGTTTGTTTTATATTCTGACAAACTCTCGTACCTCTTTATGAATACAATATGCAGCTTTCGTATGTTCATAAAATAGAATCTGACAAACTTTATGTATACTACTTCAATCGGTTCCTACTTATCACCAAAAGTTTCCATGTCATGTTTGCCCATTTGTTCATCCATACACACCATGTAAAATGCACATATCCCTCTGTTAATTTACCACATATATATGCAGGAACCCAACCATAGTATGTATACCTATGTACTATTCACCCTTGCATGCCATCACCAGCACCACCCTACACCCAACTTTCCACACTATATATTCCCTAATGCCTCGGAGTCTACTTTCTGCAAAATGCATCTATGTTTCTTTGGCCATCCTAAGCATGAGGGCACGACAACATTTCTCCAGATGTGAATATATATGATGCTGCGGATTATCACCTTGTTTGAAATGAATGGTACCAAGAAGCATGCTAAGATATGATCATTAGGATTCTGGATGGTGTCCTTATCTAATTGCAACAAAGTTGGATGTAACACACATATGTACTCTTATATGGTTGTTGTGCAACTACTACTGCTATAGCTTGTAGCTTCCCACTTAATTCTAAATATATAGTAGTGATTGATTGGTCAAACCACACAACTCCTCTAAGGCTTGGATTTTTGATGCAACATGAAATGAGACAAGTTATTCGCGCATGATTTATCGAATATTAATTGCTATAATATTGAAAAACGCATTTATTATGAAGATTGTAAAATTGAGATGTTCTAGTATGTACATGTTGTTGTTTATGCCATCTTCGTTCAGATCGGCAACAACAGCGACACAGTTGAACAAAACACAATTGGTTGACACATCAATTGCGAGAGTTATTTTCAATGTCTTTAATATCATTAACTCACCCATATATGCACTAAAATGTAACCCCGGGCTAACTTTTGGTTCATGCTCAACACCTCCGTGTATCTTTCTCTTGCTTTCTTTAGGTATTCGCTTATGAAAACCTGATTGATTCACTCATTTTTCTGGTTGAATTGACCACTTATACATTGACGGATCAGCCATGGACAGCAATGACCTCAATCTGAATGTGTCATGCAATCATGCGAATGGTGACTCGGTAGGAATGAGTGGCAATGGGAAAACACGTTGGGAAAGATGGCTTGGAATGGCTTTGGGGACGAGGGGAGAGACATACGGCCTGGAATGGCTTTGGGGAGGAGGGAGAATAAACGGGCATTGAACTGAGCCTTGCTTCTCAACGGGCATTGAGCTGAGCCTTGCTTCTCACCATCAGCAGATAAAGCAGGTGAGCTCCCTTGTTGGTTTATGCATGTTCACACTCTTGCTTGTTCTATTTCTTGTTGTAAATTGTACACGATCTTGCCTGAAAGTTGCCTACTTTAAATCATCGATACAATTGATTTGTTGTTTGTGAAATATTGCCTAGTTTTGTTTGGTGGTTTTAGGATGTGGGCTCAAGCATTCCTAAAGTTTATTAGGGTTTTTTGTTTTGTTAGATTACTGCAAATGGATCTTCATATTGACCTTTTTATGGAATGGAGTCTGCTCAAGCATGATTAGTAAATATACGGCAAGTCAGACTTTGCAATATGCATTATGTGAAGCTCAATTGAGGCATTTAACTGTATATGATTTTGCTTTAAAGGAATTAATGGATAGTTTTGTATGATAATAATTGATGGATTTTTGTATCGTTTTTACACAAAAGGTTTTGTATGTTTGCTTTGTTAGTTGTTGGCATTTCTTATTTTTTTAGGCACTAATAACATTTAGTTTTGTATGGTTTTTACACATAAGGTTTTGTTTCTAGTTAGTTTGAATCAAAGTAAAATGAGTAATTTTATATGCATGGTTTTGTTAAGTTCACTAACAATAGTATTAGTGAAGTTCTCCAAGATTTATTAGTTCTATTAACAAATTTAGAAGGAAACTAGTAATCAGAATTAAACTATGAACACATATGAGTTTGTTAGTAATGAAGAGTATGTATTATATGCTAAGTTCTGTTAGCTAATACTTTGTTTTTAGGAGGTGGGCTTAGCGATTCTTTGAATTCGTTAGAGTTAATTTTGTTAGAAAATGGAAGGTGGATATTCAAATAAACAATTTTAAGGGAGCGACACTTGATTCTGAATTAGAAATTGTTTTTTTAACACAGTTTTCTCTGTTACTAAAATCACATGGTTTTGTTCCCTTTTTTTCTTTTGGATGAGTTCTGTTTGGTCCTTTTAGTCTTAACTAGCTATTTTGCTGATATTTCTTAGTTTTGTTTCCACCGACACTTCTTAGTTTTGTTAGGTAGTAATAAAACATAGTTTTGTTTGTAATTTTATCTGTCTTATTTTTTCAGCAGTGAATTCTGAAAGCGGCTTGCATCAAGGAGGCCATGAAATCAAAAGATATACTCTAGATACCATGGCTTTCATGGCTTCCCATGTTAGTGAATGATTTGTCAGCTCCATTTTAGTGTACACTTAAAATGTTTTGCATGCACACTAGCGATTTTGTTAGTGTCAGATGGATCGTCTTGCTTAATGTTTTACTTCATGCAGAAACTTTTGCAAGTGTACATGTTCTAATATACTGTAGTTTATTGAGATGTTCAGTTATATTTTTTACCATATATGTTTTTGCTCTAACTACTACAGCTTAGATTTGTCTTGTTTTCAAAAGCATTGGTCCTATGCGAGAGTTTCAAATCTCTTTGTTTGTTCCAAATAGACTTATTTTTCTTATTCTATTTGTCACTTCAGTTTTGTTAAATATTTTATGAATATTTTAATCAAGATAGATTATTGTCATTATTAATGAAGGTAATGTTTTGTTAATTAAATTTATAGATAATTTGTTTTGTTATCACTGAAAATTAATAGGTTTAGCTTTATTTTTTGGGAAAATGATTTCACCTGTGTGTATATGATCTGAAAGTATACACTGAATGTTGTTTTTTCTTATCCTTTATGAATTTATTTCATTTTTGTGGTTATGATGGCAAATTGAATGAAGTGCAAGTATCTAAGGCAGCTGTGGAAACTAAAGATAGGAACCAACTGTGGCTACCTTGGCTACCTGTATTCTTTTCCCCTCTTTCCCAACTCGCTTCCCTCGTTTTCCACGCGCACGCTTTTCAAAATGTCAAACGGTGTATTTTTGTAAAAGTCTTCTATATGAAAGTTGTTTTAAAAAATCATATTAATCTATTTTTTAAAATTTTTTAGACTAATACTTAATTAATCTCACTAAATCGTGTGCTTCGTTCTCCGTGTCAGGAGGCAAGGTTCCCGAACACAGCCTAACTGTCTTTTATTTCTAAAGTAGTAATGATTCGTAGTATACCTTTGGCTATGGAATCTGGAAATAATTTGGTATTTAATGGCTTATGGAATGAATTAAGTTCAAGTGATTGAGTACTCTCTCTGTGATCTCTGTTTTCAAAACAATGATTGAGTACATAAATTTCCTGATAAACAGTTATCTATGTTTGTTCAGGGATGGGTCTCGCCTGTGGGGGGACATTAAATGACTGATACAAGCAAAAACAAGGACACATTAATTGAGGTCTTTGTAATTCGTTTTTTTTTTCAAATTATTGATACTGGGAAGGCTTTGGGCAGTACAAAACAAACTTTCCGCGATTTCTGAATACTCCAAATTAAATACACACACTGATCTAGCTATCAATATAAACACCCATAGCAAAATTCCTGATTATGTTATAGCCTTTCGTGTGCTTTTGGGCTTAACAAAACGGGCCTGTGATGTTTGTTTTTCTGTGTGTGATCGATCTGGGCTATCTTCCTGTGTTCTGGACAGCACAAAACATGCATGTGAACAGATGCAAAATCTGAGAGCAGATCGAACCCAAGAAGGAGGAGAGACAGGGGTGGCTGTGCTCCGCTTGGGGGAGGAGATCGTGACATGTGTCTCCATCTCACAGACAGAAATTTGAGTGTATCTACTAAATTTTTCACAAGAGTAACATATATACAGTGCCGTCTTAAAACAGAGATGAGACAATTACTTTTAACCGGCCATCCCATATAGTTCTATTTATACCTCTGCTTCTCCGTTAATTTCTACTAAAAATGTATTCACCATCTGTCTTGTGCAACACATTGCTGTTCTATATATCATACGTCCCTGCACTATTATTTGTTTCATATATAACAGTAACTTGATTATACAGTACATCTTTTCTCAACATGTTTCGTTACGGATAATGGATACATTGGATGGTTGCTTGACTATATCGGAATGAGCGGCACCAAGCAGTAGCAGCAATCGGCAGCAAGTCTACTCGAATACACTGGACAGCCATCGTCGTGAATGCTCGCCAGAGGGAGGCCTTTTCTTTTGAAAGCCCACAGCTAGAACAGAAAGATCTCGATTTAATTTATTACTTTATTAGAGTTGCAGCTGCAGCATCTGTCCAAAACGGCACGTGTATGTACGTATAGAGATTGGCAAGCATACAAACTAGAATTGAGAATGTAATATTTCAGCCTTAATATTGTGCGTGCATGGATAATCCAAGCTTTGATCGATTCAAGAATGTAGTACATATGTACATGTGCCATAAAAATTGCATCCGAGTTAATGACTGGCTAACTAGCTTATTGCGCAACACTTTGACACTTTTCACTTATGCAATATATGTAGATTTCTCAGTCCCACTTGATAATGGCACTAATAATCTTCATGCATCAATTTCTATTAAATAATTAAAAAGTAATTTATAGGCAAATTATTATTGTATCAAATTTTAAAATTTTCTACGTATTTTCGTAGGCGGATGTTTTTTTTAGGCGGCCGCTTCCTATTTTCGCAGGCGGACCTGTCTAGCTAACGTCCGTCTGCGGAAATTGTCTCTTCGCCTGCGAAGATCAGCGATCTTCACAGTCGTTGGCTTATTGGCGGACGGCCGCCTCGCCTGCGAAGACCGGTTTCCACCGCCAGTGATAATGTTTTTTCTAGTAGTGTGCACCGTATTTCATCGGATTACGTACCAATTTGCTAGAAATGGATATCCAAGCTGGTCATTTGACCAGCCATAGGCTCACGACAGTGTCAGTTAATTAGGAAGCTAACCGTGTTTCTAGCTAACGCCGCCCGGTTCATGGGATAAAACAACTATCATAGCCTGACAACATTGCTAGTTCATACTAGGAATCGTGTAACGAACCGGCAGTGATATATATCACTGTGAAAAAAAAAACACCATAACCGGCAATAATACTCTATACTATCAGTTCACGTTGAATCAGTAGTGGTATCATTGTTGGTTCAAGGTGGTTTAGGAAAAAAAATCACGGTGACCGATTGTAATACTCTATCATGTCGGTTCACGTCGAACCGGAAGTAATTAATGGCCTGGCGGTGATGACCTTTTCAGTAAGCAGAGTACGTACAATGCGATACTACTATGAACTAAAATAATTCAATATGACATGCTAACCTCTTATTATCTGTTCAAGCTCGAATAATATATCCCTCACCAAATAAAAAGAAAGGAATGTCAAGTAATCCACTGAAATATTCTGAATGTAAATATTGAAAAGCTAAAACTAGCTTCTTAGGAGTACAAACAACTACTCAGCGGACTATTCCTCAGTTATTTTAGTTCGTTTTATTTTCTGACAAACTATTTATGTACAATAATTACCTTGACCGGTTCTTGTTCACCAAAAATTAATTAATTAATTTGTACACCATCTGTTCATCTATGTACACCATGTAAATGCACATATCTCTCCATTAATAAATTAATTTGTCACACGTATATATGCAGGGGCACCTGCACCATCCGCGGGGGCACCTCAGAGAGTCTTCGTTGCGCACGTTGCATCTTTGTATAGTATGTCTTGACCGTGTTGAGAAAACAAGTTCTTCGGAAAAAAAAAACAAAAAAATCAACCACAAACAATATTGTGGTAAATTTGAAATAAGAAACTTGTGTTGTCAATGACTCGATTACAATGCTTGTGTGTTGTCAGTCTGCAGTGCTGCAAATAAACACTTATAACTCTCAGCAACTGAGCTAAGGTCGCTACACATATAAATTGCAAAAGATCGATGTTTTTTATGCAAGTTAACAATCTGTAGGGTACCTTAATTTGGTGCATAGAAAACACATTCTATCTCGTTCCTAGGTGAAACTGCAAACTAGCAGGAAAAATTAAATATCAATTGAGATCCCCTGCAGTACTGCACGCTCACCGACATGTGGGCCCGAGGGGCTAGACGACCTATCCATCAAATGTACCCTCTTAGCCTATTCACTTTGTTGCTTTACCTAAGGATAGAGATCCAAGGCCCCCAGGCATCCAACGACGCCCCACGGCAAGTGCTTCCCCATCAGTCATCGATGCCCTACCGATGCATGCTGGCCTGCTGCCCCTCCTAAGCCTGGGACCCGATCTAGCGTGCCTGCCCATGATATCCACCTGGTTAGCCTCATCTGATGTCTTGCCTGTTGCGGTCGCTAATCGCCGGACGAGAAGGGATATGTTTCAAGAATCAATGAGTCAACGCCACAACAACACAACACAAGCCTAGTGCGCCTATAAAGAGGCCTAGCAGTGAGTGCATGCCTACCGCTATCACCCGTCGCACGCCCTTCTCACACAGCGACACCGTCACACCGCCATGCCGTAGTAGGGAAGAATAAGGGGAGGTTTACGGGGTATTCGCGGGCGTCGTGAGGTATATATGGCGAGCGCTAGACCTTGCCCTACCAGGCCCTCCGCCACTGCCTAAGAACAACACATGTAAATATATAAGCATGATAACTGGCCTGCCTGGTGTTTCCTTGTCTTAACTCAACATACCAACTCGATCGGAATGAATTGTATCGGGAAGCATGCTAAGCGATGGCCATTAAAATGTTGGTTGGCATCCTCTCGCTACTGATCCAACATAAGACAGAAAAGGTGGAAAGAGCACTAGATTGAATGAAGGAAAACTTTGAACTTTCTTTTGAATGATTGAATTATGCATTGCCTTAAACTTATTAATTTTGGGTCTGAACTAACGATTGAGAGAAAACTGAAAGAACAATAGGTTGGGGTTGCACAACTGGATCTATCCTTATTAGGGGTGGAGCTACATAGCAGACGGAGTGCCCAAGAACCCAGTCAAGAATTTTTTTTTAACTATAACTCATCTATTTGCACCGTATGCACGTCCTATCAATCCAAACTCAGACACTCGTATCAGCCTAAACACGGTCTAAAGTAAAGCAAAGCAAGCGTGTGGCACCCGCTCTATTTCGTTCTTGCTCCGGCCCTAGCTCCTAATGCTTATGTAGGTCTTGCTTCCCTCAGTGACTCCATTCATTTTTATCCGAGCACAATAGGAGAGGCTCGTGCTGTAATTTTTCATTATAATAGAATATATAAAATGATGTTTGGGTAAGGAATATTAAGATGGTCAGTCCATCACTTAGATTCTGAATAGTTTGTTTGGTTTGAGGAATTAAATGGATTTGTCCCTCTTCTCCCGAAATATAAACTGCTTAAGAGACGAAGAATGGAATGATCCCACCAAGTCCAAAAAATGACCCCATGATGGATCACAAATCCTAAATGGGTTTTGATTTCTCAAACCAGACAACCCCTAATTGAGTCTTTGAGACATTCTAGTGAACCTTCCTTTCAATTAGCATAGTACTCTCTAGGCCGTGATTGCTGCATTTCATTGATTAATTGGTCAACTTGGGGTAAGATTATTAATATCAGCCCATTGATTAATTAGCACAACAAGACAATCGAATGGGCTAGGCCTACCAGCAGCCAATACAGGCCGGCCTGGCAAGGAAAAAATGCCCAGTCAATAGCTACATCTTGAAAGAACACCAGCTATTTTGGCCATTATGAATTGAACATACATAGAGTTGTGCTACCACGTGCCCCCCTATTATTTACTCATACATACTCATTCTTCTGTCCTCAAAAGGGCAACTTCTGAGGATGAATCTAGACCAATGCAAGTCCAGGTTCATCCCCAGAAGTTCCTATTATTTCTCACACATACTCATTCTGTCTCCAAAATATACATCTTCTGAGAACAACGGAGTATGTACTCATTTTACGTGCATATATACTTGTCTCACTACTAGCTTGTAGCTTCTTTCTATTGTTGACGGAGATTGAAAGACATGTATCAGGTGTTAACCATGATGCACCTCAACATTAGTAGACCTCATTAGGAATGAGTGACATCGAGAGAGCCATCATCGGTTTAGTTGTTGCAACACGGCCAATGATGCATACATACACACAATTGTACCATTATATGGCTACCGGACTGCATCGCCAATGCGTTGGTCCGCATCATTCAGAGGTGATCATCACGTATATGCTTCGGTTAATATACCTCTTTTCGAGGTGCATTTTGCTCCTTTCATGGCTTCCTACTGTGGGATGGCCCAAATTTTTAGCTAGAACGAGCTTTACCCAAGCTGTCAGTTTGCAGAGTGCACCTTAGATCCCGCATCTGCATGTTAATTTGTGAGATTTGTAAAAAAAAGAAATATATGCTACCACTTTGATTGTTCATGGAATCAACCACTATCGCACCATTCAATAGGAACGGCAGCTACTCAATTCAAAACATTTTTTTGCATTTTTCGTCTTCCTTCTTTCTTGTTAATTGACCGCGCGCGATACATCAGTGTCATGTGTGTAATTGCTATTTCATCGGTTTTACTTATTTTCAAGAGACTTCATCAGTATTATAAACTTACCTACCTATTTTAATTTTGGACAGATTTAACACATGTTGATTATGGTGAAGTGCACAGAATGTAGGTCGATGTTCTCTCACGACTAGTGTGATGGTATTAATTTCGAACCTGCTTTTGTATATTAATTAATTACTTGAATCAATTCTTGACTACCAAAGGTTTCCATGTCAAGTTTGCCTCTCATCAGTATGCACCATGTAAATGCACATTTCCTTCCATTAATTAATTTGCCACACAAATATATATACAGGGACATGGCTACTGGTTGTATATGGCTATATTATTTCAACCCTGCACATTATAACAACACCACTGAACATCACACACCATCCGTGCCATGCCTCAGAGTGTTCCCTGCACACCATAAAAATCTATGTATGTCTTTAGCTGGCTTGATCATGCAAGACACCGTTGCTCCATATGCGGAAGCAGTGGAGGAATTTTGAATTATGAAAATGAGTGGTGTTAGGGTTGTCTATTCACCTAGGTTTAGATCTAGTCGGGTGGTTCTATTTACGATGGATGATTGAACAACAATGGTTGAATAAACAAGAGGGAGTGAGAGGGTTTAGGGATGTGACCAGTCGTTGTCGAGAAGGAGGAAGTCCGGCCGGCCATCGTCGTTGTCGTCGCGCGCTTGACATTGACGGCGGTGACGGTGTCGACGACGAGGCGTGCTGCGGCGGTGGACTTCCCGTCACTGGCTGCGCCCCCTCGAGATCGGTTTAGGGTTTATGGGGTGGAGTGGCGGCGGCGGTGAATCTCGTGTCTTGTGCCGTCCCATCCTCCACCCCTCTTTATATGGCACAGTGTGACGGGGGCCCACCAGCCATTGGGCTGGGCGCCCCCGATCAGGGCGCGGGTCAAGGCCCCCTTGAGCCGTTGGAGCTCAAGGCGAGGGAGATCTATCTAACATTCTCCCCCTTGATCTCACTATTTCTTTTAGCTTCTTCTATTCCATCACAGATTTACATATAGAGCATGTTTCATCGTCACGGTTAATTACCGATGGATTCGACAGCCACTATACACATCTCTATTCAGAAACAGATACTTTAACTTTTGGGCCCTATAGTCCAGGATTCATAAGGCTTCCCTTAAACCCATGCATGCTACATGTTCCTTGAACATGTTGGGAGGTAGGCCTTTCATGAGCGGATCCGTGAGCATCCTTTCTGTTCTTATGTGCTCGAGATTGATTGTTTGATCCCAGACTTTGTCTTTCACAACATAGTACTTTATGTCAATGTGTTTGGCAGCACCACTTGACTGATTGTTGTGAGAGTACATTACTGTGGGTTCTTTATCGCAGTATAACTTTAGTGGTTTCTCAATCATAGTAGACCCTGCAGTGATGGTCTGTTTTGAGCTTTTCCATGAAATAGCTCCTACTGCCAGGGTGAACACGTATCCCAATGTTGACTTTGTATTATCTTTTGCAGAGTCAGAATCTGAATACCCTACTATCTGGAGCTATTCTGATTTTCTGTAAGACAGCATGAGGCCTTTTGTTCTTTGCAAATAATCTTTACTAATTCTAGTGCTCTAGGCCTGGATTACTTTGAAATCTGCCAAATATCCCGGTAACAAATGCCAAGTCAGGTCGTGTGCACACTTGCGCGTACTGCAGGCTTCCTACAGCTGACGCATATGGCTTGGTTTTCATTTCATTGAGCTCATACTGATTTCTAGGACATTGCAATGCCCCCATACTTTTCGCCTTTGACTATAGGAGCAGGTGTAGCACTGCATCTGTACATATTGAATTTCTTCAACACCTTTTCTATATATGCCTTTTGAGAAAGTCCCAATGCATACTCTATTCTATCTCGGTGAAACTCTATGCCCAAAACATATGAAGACTCACTGAGGTCTTTTATGTCAAAGTTTGAGGACAATAATTTCTTTGTTTCCTGCAGTAGACTGACATCACTACTAGCCAGTAGGAAAATGAATCTCCCATTCTTAACTTTGAATGAATATAGTTGTCCTCGACATTCTCTTGAAAACCCAAAATTTCTTTATTGTTCCATCAAACTTCAAGTAGCACTGTCTCGAAGCTTTGATTTAATCCATAAATGGATCTCTTTATACATCATCCTATATTTTCGTTTCCTTTCATAACGAAACCTTTCGGTTGTGCCATGTATACTTTTTTCTTCAAATCACCATTTAGAAATTCCGTTTTTACATCCATCTAATGTAATTCCAAATCATAATGTGCCACTATAATCATGAAGGAATCTTTACAAGAGACTGGAAAAAATGTCTCATTGTAATCCCTTCTCTTTGCGTGAAGCCTTTTGCCACAAGTCGTGCTTTAAACTTTTCTATATTCCCTCAGGAGTCATATTTGGTTTTGTAGACCCATTTACAGCCTACTGTTTTGGCTCCTTTAGGAATTTCTTCTAAATCCCAGACATCATTTAATTTCATTGATTTCATTTCATCTTTCATGGTTTCCAACCATTCAGGTGAGCGATCGCTTCTCATGGCCTCTTCATATGAGGTGGGATCATCCTCCATATGCTACTCTTTCAGACCTTCTAGGGGCCTCCTATTCTGGCACATTATCTATTTGAGGCTGTTGCAGCTCCTCCCCTGATGTGGCAATAATTTCTGTTGAATCCTGTAGAACAGGTTCCTCACTTTCATTCATTGTTGCCACAGGAGAGATAGCAACATGTGTTGGTACCGCAACGTCATGCATTGCAAGCACAACATCAGCAGGTAGAGAGAAGAAAGGTTCCTGAGTCGACTTAGCGGGTACAGACACCCGCCTCTCCTCAAGATCAATTTCTCGAACTACCGAGCTCTCCTAATCATTTCGTCTTCCAAGAAGACGGCGTGTTTCGTTTCTACAAACTTTGCACAACTGTTTGGATAGTAGAAATGATAACCCTTTGATCTTTCAGAATAGCCAATAAAATGGCAGCTTACTGTTTTGGGATCCAATTTCCTAAGATTTGGGTTAAATACTTTATCCTTTGCAAGACTCCCCCACACACGAAGGATCCATAGGTCATACGGTGTTTTGGGCACCGATGCATTATATGCTTGTATGCATTGTTCTAAAACTGAGAACTCCAATGGAGGAAGAATTATATTCTTAACCGGTCTCTTAATTCTCCCCCTCGAAATATGGCCTAAACGTCAGTACCATAATTTCGATGAGACATCAGGAGTTCGCTTTCTTTTCTTTTGTCAACGAGGACACAACATTCACATTCTCAGAAAGAGATAACAAATAAAGCTGATCTTGCAACACAAGACCAATACATGCATTATTATACCATAGTTCACATTTGCCATTTCCAAAATGGCAATCATATATATCAAAATCCAATTTGGATACACTTATTTCTTTGCAAAGAAGGGACATAAAAACATCTGGAAGTAAAAGTGTGAAGCCATTCACGAGCTCTAGGCGAAGATCTCCAACAGCTTCAACTTTTGCTTCAACTCCATTGGCAACTCTAATGGATCTTTCACTTCTTTTGCGTAGTCCTCACTGAACGGAATCCCTTTAAACAATTACACATATGAATAGTTGCTCTAGAATAAATCCACTATGTGGATCTAGAATAACCAATCATAATGAGATTCATTTACAAATGTAAAAATGTTCTCACCTTTCTTTGCCATGATCACTATCAGGAAGTCAGGATGATCTTTCTTGGAATGTCTTGTCTTCTTGCAGTGGAGACACTGGTCCTGTCTCAACTGTTAACTGTTGTTTGTTGAGGCAGAAAGCCTGGCACGGTCGCATCTGATGCATTCGTTCATGGTGGTATATCTCTTCCATTTGAAATTTTAAACAACTGAGCAACCATGGAAATAACAAATAGAGTATTAGGCAACTACCCAGAGCTGGCTAGCATATGCTTATACACATGGATGAACAAAATGAGGTAGTTAAAGCCACGAAGCAGGAGTACACAACAATGCACTGTGGCGACGGTAGTGTCCTTGTGGATCAGTGTTTGCACTTTGGGAAGGCACCAAGAATTTTTGTGGGCACCGAAATTTCGATTATTTATTTTTCTCTTTGCGCGAAAAGAGAGTGTATTATTGATAAAACTGACCAGGATTACAATCTCAGCTGAGCAGCTCATCAATCTCAGGAGGTGATTCCAGGTGCAAAATCACGGCCGCAAAAAACTGACCAGGATTACAATCTCTTGAAATTTTAACACATTTTTACTTAATTTGAATAAATTATGATCAAATTCACAAATATTTGAAAATTTCTGAAAATTTTGGACCGAATATTTACTTGCCGGGGGTTGGGGAAATTATGCAAATTTCAGAAATTTCGTTCTGAAATTTCAATCCTTGTACGAGCACCATCTTCATATGGCTTGTAGTCTTCTACATACATGACAGCATTTTACAATGTCAATGTCCCCACGGGAGCAAACTAGCGAAGTGATGACCTCGCTCGGTGCTGTCGCGTGAGCAGAATCACAAGCTCAGTTTTAAGAGTGCTTGCTATGGGGCCACTAAAATCACTTCGATGATTCGATCATGTCGTGTTCATGTGCGGACGCTCAAATGTAAGCGTCGGAGAGCTCCACGATGAAGTCGTCCAGCTCGAGCTGTTTCCCTAACGCCACTCATTCCGATTGAAAATGCACAAATTCAGTGTATGGTTGTATCTCTCATACATCCATTGATTCTTCAGCTGTAAAACATCTAATTGATCTGGAAGGAAAGGAGCCTGCTAGCAGTACAGCAGCTGGCATGGCACGACATATGCATATATAAAGTGATTTTTTAGATGGAGTACTGTGCCTCACTCGTCATTCACAGAGTAAATTAAAGTTGGTAGTACAAGTTTTTACAGGTGGCAAGAAAAAAAAAGCTATACTTTCTTTTTGAGAGGAAAAGAGAACTTCATTACTCGAACGAAACAGCTAAATCAATCTTCACCAGGTTACAAATAAATTCAGGAAATTCCCTTAAAAAAATTTTTTTTTGGACGGGAGTTCCTTTAGATTGTAGGCGGGTCATAACTACTCCCACCAGAAAAAAAAGGTTTTCTCGGAGGTCCGTTGAAGAGCCGCATGCGAAAATGCACTCATGCTCTCTATTAAATGCCCGCATATAAGTCTAACCTCCCTCCTCTCTTCCCACTCAGCTTCTTCAAAAATTTCTAACTCTCCATCCCTATCTCCTTACCTTCCCCCTTACCTCTCATTTTTTACAACATCTCTCTCCCCACTCAATTTCTCCCCCCCCCCTCTCCCCAACCTCTCGAGCGACGGCAGGAGCAACGTCAGCAGCATCGGTGATGACGAGCGGAGGCACCAACAAGGTCTTGGGCGAAGGTAGGCTCGGCCTCTGTAGCATACCCAAAATGTGATTTTTAAATTTGACTTCGATAAAACAATAAAAATGTGTTTCTAAATTTATGACTAATTTTTTCCGCTAAAAGACCTAGGTGAGCCTAATATGATTAGCTCTCATAAGTAAATTTGTGAATAATTTAAAACATTTTCCTTACCAACCTACATATAAAGCTAAAACTTGGTGAGTGCTTGCATTTGCATAATGTACTGATGTGACTTGAGTCTTTTGTGTGTTTTTGGATTTTGAATGCATTCCATAATAGGTCTCATGAATATAAAAGATAAGTAAAACATATTAACTCAATTATACCTCAAGCTTTACCAAGTAGGACACAAATCTACATGCATACAAACTTCCAAATACCTTTGGGAAGTATTTATGAAGACATAAGGATCAAGTCTAACAACACCACCTGTGACCAAATATTAAGTAAATATAAAGTTTACAAATCCTTTAATAGCATATTCATAATAATAGCTTCCACTCATCCAAAACTATGTGATGATCGCAAACAACACTGGACAATATAATTTTCGGGTGTCCTGACAGCATCCAACCATCGTCACCGCTTGAGCCCCATGCCACTGCTGGCCAGTGAGGAGGACAGAAGGAGAGAGAGGAGAGGTGTCTGAGGAGGAGAGGTGAGAGAGAAAAGAGATGAGGTGAGAGAGATAAGAGGATCGTGATGATACTTGAAAATTTTCGAAGTGTTTAGAGGGAAAAACAAGAGGAGGTAAGTTAGACTTCTAGGCGAATCCCTAAGAGGCCTGCTCGTGAATATATATTAAGAGGTTCGTATGCAAAAATCGATTTTTGCATACGAGCCCTCTTAAGGAGCCGTATACAGAAATGCCGATCGATTTCTACAACTTAAAAAGGGTCTCGTGCAGAAAAATTGTTTATGTAGTAGTGAAACGTTCTTTTCATTATGATTGTGAAGGGTTTGGAACCAAAGAAACTGTGTGATCTTCCGATACCTCCATCAATGCATTGAAGATGCAAAACACTGGGCAAATTGTATTTAATTCGACAAATCCTTATTTAATATATAACTTCATCAAAAGAGATGCACTCAAGTCTCAACCCTTCTACGAGCATGTCCTGATCGTGTACAATGTATTTTTCCAATGTTGTCGTTTGAATAAATATTCGGCTGGTGATTCTCTCTCCCATTGACCTTTAATGAGAAAAAATGGTCCAAAGACACCAGAATGCGGAGATTAGGGTTCTTCTCGTACTTCAACATCGCATCCTAATGGTGCAAGTTGTTAGCTCGAACACAAGATCTCACACACACGAGATGGAGAATTCTAACTAGCTGGATGGCACACACAACGGCACTGCACACCAGCAGCAAATGCACACGCAAGCACACTGCTGCACTTCTATTCACCACACCGATTAACAGGTTATTACATGGCTTAAATAGCCCCACACGCACGCGCGCACACACGCTTAGCCACGTTTAGCCGCACAACCCGGTCAATCTGTCACACAACTAACTCCACGAATACAGCATGATCACCTCCATTATTTCTGCATGCACGGACTAATTTCTCCACTCACCAACTAATGATGTGCGTATATAGTTCAGACTCCACTCATCGTTCCTACATACACGTACTGACGGCCAAATGAACACGCAGCTGCATCCATTGACTCCAATTAGCACACTAATGACGCACTGATTTACCAAACTCCCTGCACACACGTTGTGCTTTCACTAACGGTTGATCAGCTCACCACGCTAAATTTGGACACAGACCACTAGGTACAGTAGACTGAATATGATGAAACATAAACAACAAGATTAACTCTAACACAAGTTGCAGCGTTTAATACGTCTAATCCTTATAGTGCCAAGAAAAGGTTCACACTCTACACCCGTGCTTCCTGTACTGACAGCACGACGGTCTCAAACCTGTACTGTTTGCTGGGTGTCCCAGTGTGTGTTTTGTTTGAGCTTGCGAATCATGATATCCTAACGATCGATTGGAAAAGGTTGATGAAGGTGTTTACCCAACGCCACTCATTCCTTACTACGCGAGTCCACCATTCGCACGAATGCACATCACATTAGACGTCGAGGTCATCCGTGTCCATGGCTGATCAGTCTATGTATGTGGCAAATTCAACAAAAAAAAGAGTCAATCAATCATGTTTTCATAAGCGGATACCTAAATAAAAAGAGGAATTCCAGGTACACCGAGGTGGTGAGCATAAATTAAAAGGTGTCCTGTGGTTATATATATGAGCAATTTTACAGTGCTTGAGTAGGTATCATGGGTACTATTTTTTCTATTGTAAATTTGGTACCTCTTGATACCGAGGTACTATAAGATATCAAATTTTACACTATATTTTTGGTACCTCATGATACCTTCTCAAAAACCATAAAATTGCTCTGTATATATATATGCATTTATGGGTGAGTAAATGATATTAAAGCCATGATTCAGAAGTACATTATGGTTGTGTTCAGGAGGAGGGATTGGGGCACGCAAAACGAAGTACGTATCATTGTATGATTAATTAAATATTAACTATTTTTTTGAAAAAATGGATTAATATGTTTTTTTTAAAACAACTTTCGTATAGAATTTTTTTGCAAAAAGCACACTGTTTAACAGTTTGAAAAGCGTGCGCGCAGAAAACGAGAGATGTGAGTTGCGAAAATTGGGGGAAGAACACAGCCTATATCGACATAGAACTTATTCTGTAGATCTATCAATCAATTGCCTTTTGTTCAACCGCCACTTTGTTGTTGTCACCGAACTGAACATTCATGGCATGAACTGATGTACGTACTGGGTTTCTAGGCCAAGAACATCTCAATCTGACGATCTTCATAATATGGGTTAAGTTCGATTTATACCCTCAGCTATTGTAACTAGTAATATGTCCGTGCTAACGCAACGGCGGCTGCATTTGATAATACAAATCAAACAATTCAAGATACATCGTGCATGTTTATTTAGCTCCATGTAAGGTTGTAAACGGATACCAAGTATAAAGAATGGCATAAAATAAATATCATTTCTTGTTTTCCTTCACAATACTGAAGATTTAATCCTAAAAGTTGTAATAGATAAATTTGAGCAGTCAACACTAAACTCATGTAGTATGAGCTCCTCTCATCCTAGGTGACTTGGTGCTATCTCATAAAAGACATGCCTAGCTCCAAAATAGATTAGCTCCACCTCCTATACTTCCTTAATTCAGGACTTATATGTTTACCCCACATCCAATGTCTTCTATAACAAATAGTAGTCAACATAGCACCTGATGGTGTATGATGAATCTTCATAGCCAAAAAAGATATTCCAGTGCAATTGGACTTTCCTCTCTTTACAACCAGCAAATTGCAAACAATCACAGGTTGATGATTAGCCATGGCATGAGAAAGTTCATAACTAAACAATCACAGGTTGATGATTAGCCACGGCATGAGAAAGTTCGTAACTGGTATTGACCGGTGGTTAAAGGAGCTCTAGATCGGCGTCGCTGGTGAAGGTGGGAAATGAAGAGAACTCTTCATGAGCGTCGTGCGTCACTGGTGAAGGTGGGAAATGAAGAGATATAGCTCTTCACCGTGCTGTAGATGACTTAGATGGGATCGTTGCAGTAATACAGAGCCACCGCGACGGGGATCAGCAACTATGAAAAGATGTAGCTTTTCATCGTGCTCTAGATGGGATCGTTGCAGTGATCTAGAGCCACCGCAATGGGAGATTAGCAACTATGATCATGCAGGAAACACGATTAGCAACTATGATCGTGCAAGAAACACCATATCTAATCTAAAAAGAAAGAGCCATGCTCAGCGCCACCAGCTGATTACTACATGCTTGTTTACTGATCACAATGGAAAGTCTCTTAAAAATAGCAGCACTGAACTCACCAAAACTGAAAAGAAAACTACATCGCAGTAAGCAACGTCGGACATAGCATGAACACTGCACAATTCGGGCTAAGTGACAACAGAGCAAAGTTTAGCTATTCCGCTCCATAATCCAGGAAGATTTCAAAATAAATCTATCAATAAAAAAATAGTACCTATAGGCTATGTCAATTCTCCTGAACTACCATGGTATAATTCCACGTCTCCGCTCACCAAACTGCTCGATTAAAATAGGTACATAAACTACTTTACCGCTCTGCACCTAACATCTGGACTTCAAAGTTTAGCTACAAGGGTTAAAATTTCTCGGGTTGGTGATTGCAAATCACCTGCATATACACACATACTACGATCAAATTAAAAAAAGCCTCAGTATGGTTGACTTTCCTGCAGAGGAAAATACAGTTAATGAATAGTTAATTGATCACATAAATTTGAATTGTGCTAATACTAAAAGGGAAAAGATGAAACAAGACATCTCATTCCGTACACCCCAAAAATCACAGTAGCTAGCCTTGAATCAGACTGAAATAGACAATCACAAAATGAGCATGTTTGTCCAGATTATGGACCGAAGCATCCATTGCTTAAAAAAAAATCCTATCCTTCATTATCCACTTTTTCTCTCTTTTTGCATGTGGTTAAAGTTAAAGTCAATAAATAGGGTGCATTTCTAAAGAGATTTAATAATCCTATCATAACTCATTTCATTTAGCTAACCTCATCAAATTAACAAGTGAAAACAAACTTAAAGAAAATGAGATCCTATAAATCTGTAGTACCATTCTAAAAAGCTAATTATATGGAAGTGTTCATATCAACTCAGAAATATGATCCATGAAATCGAATTAATTAAGTCAGTTAGAAAAGGAAGATTTTATATAAAACCAAATAATCACTTCAGACCAAAAAACAAGAGTGTGATTGCTTAGCACTTGACACACACACACCACGCATACACTACTACACAAAGCGTTTTTTCGTGCGGTCGATCGGATTTTTGCATGCGGAGCCTCGGCCCGTCTGGAACAAATCGCTTGGGAAAATCACGATTTTCTCTTGCCGGTGGCTTATGCCGCCCGCACGGAAAAACAAAAAACCAAAAAAAAATTAAGATTTCAAAAAAAAACAGAAAACCCTAGATTGGGTCGTCGCCGCCGCTCTAGCCTCGTCGGCGGCGGTGGTGGCGTCGCCGCTCCCGCCTCGTCATCGTTGTCGTCGGCGGCGGCGCCGCCTCCCGCCGGCCTCCAGCGCCGGATCCGTGGCGGGGGCAGGGCGGCCGGCCACCGGATCTAGGCGGAGACGGCCGCGTGCCGTCGTCACCCGCCCGCCCGCCGGATCCGCAGCCCGCGCGCTCCCGTCGCCACCGGGGAAGGGAGGGGAGGAGCCGTGGCCGCCCGCCCGTCCGCCAGATCTGCCGCCCGTGCGCTCCCTTCGCCGCAGGGAAGGGGAGGAGCCGCAGGCCGCCCGTCCCGCCTGTGCCCGCCGCCGCCTCCCCACATCCGCCTGCTGCCACCGAGCTCACCACCGTCCCGCCTGTGGAGAAGGAGGCAGAAGAAGATGGTGAGAGAGAGAGGAATTTGAGAGGAGGAGAATGAAGGTGAGAAGATAAGGGAGAGAGAGAGGAGAGAGGGGGCCCGAGGGGAGAAAGAAGGAAGTTAAATTATTTTGAATAGGATGGGAGGGAAGCCTATTTTCCTGCGCTGGTGGATTAGGAGGCCCGCACGCGAAAATAACCTATTTTTGCGTGCGGGCCTGTTAAGTGACCCGCACACGAAAATTGATTTTCGTGTGTGGGCGATGACCCAGCTTCGCTCTCCCCTATTTCTCCGTGCAGTCTAACTTATGGACCGCATGGAAACAAAATGGGGTGACGTTCAGGAAAATCAATCCTATAGTAGTGATATATTATTTTGAGAAAATTGTATGTTGAAGTCTAGCAGATTTGAAGGGAAACAAAATATGGATATGTATTACCTGCAGATTATGTTTTACTAGTTTAGCTCTCTTAGTAAAATGCCCATCTTTGGTGAACTAACGAAAGAAGCATCACTTGCAATGTTTACATAAGTAGAACTGTGTCAGCAGAGTGCACATGCAGAATTAATTCCTCCTCGATTTCCATTGGGATACGCTAAACTGCACCCAGGGTACGCCACAACTAAAACGCTTCCCTCACAAATACACCAATACCACCTGCGCCCCCCCCCCTCCCCCTTCCCTCACAGATGCAGAATTAAAAATGAACGCTTGAAATTTGTCCACAGCACCCAGTGTAAATATTTTACTCTAAGATTGACCCATGAATAAAATTTTTACTTGGTGATGTAGACAAATATGAGACGTCCATTTTTAAATCCAACCAATAGTTTTCAGGTTTTTTTCCTACATATTTTCTTATATATATATATACATATATATATATATATATATATATATATTCTACACCCGGGGTATAGAATAGCTATTCTATACCCCCTCCCTCCCAAAGGTCACACCCACCTCCCCCTCCTTACCAAGGCCCAAAACCCACCTCCCACCTCGGTCAAAGGCCCCTCCCACCGGTCAAACCCGCCTACAAACTCCCCCCACAACCTATCTCTTCTCAGCTCTCGTTCCAGGATGGTGCAGTAACACGACGACCACTGTGCAGTAACACTGTGTCTTACGTGCAGTAACAATGTTAAAATATAGTTAAAATATAGTCATGACGGATCTACTTTTGATAAGCTATTTTTTTCTAGCATCATGGTGCAAACGGTTTCAAAAAACCTTACATCACTTGGGAGATATTGTTCTTCAAAGCTTGAAATTTTTGCAATTTGTCTCTCCACAAGTAGTAATACTATACTATTACTTGTTACTACTTGTCTGTTATACGTTACAACAATCGCATCATGATGTTACTACACGGCGTTTTACTGTATTTTTTGGGTAGTGTTACTGCATAAACACGTGGTAACGTGCATCTTCCGTGCAGTAACACTGTTACTTTTGTGCAGTAACAAGTATATGGGTAACATCTGAGACCTTTAACCTATATATTTTTGTTTCAATTCCTGATTTACTGTAATTCACCACAATATTACTGTCAAAAGTGCAGTAATGTCATATACATGCAGTAACACTATATTGGAGGGAGGAGACCGATTTTCTTGAGAAGAGGGAGAAAGACCGGTTTCTTAAAGAGGGGAGTGCGTAGATGTATTTTGAACTTTAACCCTCCACATGCAGTAACACTATAGCATCATGGTGGGAACGATTTTAAAAAATAATACATATCTTGTGAGATATTGCTTTTCAAAGATTGTCATTTTGAACTTTAACCCTCCATATGCAGTAACAGAATGTGTAACTTGCAGTAACAAAGGTATATATATGCAGTAACATGGTTTTACCAAATGTATAAAATTGTTCAAAACACTCCTACATCAATCAGATCTCGCTCAAAACCACCTATAGACTTTACCTATAGCCACCTATTCGATCTTCATCTCGTAAAAATGATATAGTAAAACTATAATTATCGTGCAATAATATAGCTACCTAAAAGTGGTAATATGCGCTTATTATGTAGTAACACTTCTACTTTTGTACAGTAAGTATATGGTTAGCATGTGAGGCTTTAACCCATATATTTTTATGTTGATTCCTGGTCTACTACAATTTTACTATGACGTTACTACCAGAAGTGCATGACGTTACTACCAGAAGTGCAGTAACGTCCTATGTGTTATATAGTAACGTCACATGTTACTGTACTTTTACAACAATGTTACTACTAGAGTATAGTAACATGTTATGAGTTTCGATAGTAAAAGATATTAGAAGTGATAATCATATTCATTTCTCATAAAATTTTTAAAACAAATAGCATCATTAGATGAATTGGTTAGAAGAATATGCTTTGAACTATGAGATCATGGGTTCAAGTTTTGAATTTGGCAATTTATTTTTTATTTTTTTAAAAAAGAGAAAAAATGTTTCAGGGAGAAAAAAAAGAAAAAAATAAAATAAAAAAGAGAGAGACCGGGAGCGAGAGAGAGAAGGGAGGGGGAGCGAGAGAAACAGAAAAAAATCGGATTGGTGACGGTGAAGCCAAAGCAGACATGTGATCCAACATAGAAATCACCAAAGCAGACATATGATCCAACGTAGGAACGTACGTTGACATGTTTGGAGCGACGAAAATGCGGAACAAAAAAGCGTAAAAAGCCGCGTCGCCCGTAACCCGCGCCCCCTCCTCCGCGCTCCTCCACCGCTGTCCCGCACTCTCGCCTCGCCTCTCCTCCGCGCCGCGACGCCCCGCAACCCGCGCCCCCTCCTCCGCGCGCCTCCATCGCCGCCCCGCACCCTCCCCTCGCCTCTCCTCCGCGCCGCCCCTCCACCAGCAGCCGGCGCGGTCCGGCGCCCCTCTCCTCTCCACCCGCGTCGCCGCCGTCCCCACTGCGCGCCACCGCCCATCGCCGCCCCACCGCGCCTCCACCCCTAGCCGGAGAGGCGCCGGCCGCACTGCCCCTCCACCTCCACCCGGCGCCCCTCTCCTCTCCACCCGCGTCGCCGCCGTCCCCACTGCGCGCCGCCGCCCATCGCCTCCCCACCGCGCCTCCACCCCTAGCCGGAGAGGCGCCGGCCGTGCCGCCCCTCCACCTCCACCAGAAGCCATCCCCACACCGCACCGCCGCCCCTCGCCTCCCCACCGCCCTCGACCTGCGTCGCCTCCTCGCCCCTCGACGCCCTCGACCACTCAAGGTGGTCACAGACGCCGTCATCTGAAGGTATGTATCCCCTCCTGCCCCACCATGACGCCCGACGATATGGCCGCCGCATGTTTGATGAAATGTCCAGTAAGAAGCTCCATCCGTGGACTCAATCTGCAATGGGGAAATGAGCACCAAATGAACATGCACTTGAATATTGTACAGATCGATTGCTACATGTATGATTTCTTTTATAATTCTTCATGTACATAGGTTGAATATGAAATAATACCTCGGTTACCATGTGCCTGCCTCACTTCCAAACCTTTCAATCAGCTGACACATGAGCTATAGAACAAACAACGATTCATGCTTTTTACGTGGGTTGTTCTATATAATATTACTACCCCTCAATGCTTGTAATGTTATTTTTATCATGATGACTCTCAGTTCAGCTTAATTATATTGAAAAACTATGGTGTCAAGAGTAGCATGCTTGAGTGCTTAGGAATACAACAATATTTTTAGATGAAAGATGAGGGTTGAAAAATCATTAGTTTACAAATGCAGAACTACCATTTTTTCTCCAACCCACCTCACTATTTTGCTAATGACATGATGATTGGAGGAGGGCAGCGTTGCAATCATTCTTGTGTATATATTATTGGTATATACTTTTGACGGATGATTTCGGTAGGCGTATTTTATATATATATGCGATCCTTCATTACCATATCAGTTCGAACAGTTGCTTCCCACCCACATAACCTCCTTCCCTGCATTGAAGGTATATCCAATTAATTCGCTTAATTTCCTTTACTGTGTGTTGCCAATTTTCAACGTTTTTATAATACTACCATCAGCACCACTGGGATTCTGCCTGATGGTTTGTACTGGATTGAACTCTAAAAAATTTTGACTTATGCATTTCAGGGTTCCAATGGATAGCAACTTTGGGGCCTCTCGACCGACATCGTTGACAGGATCAGGTGAGTTTTTCAAAAAATATAATAATAGGTCAATAGCTCAACCTTTGCCCTATGTTCTTATTTGTTCCATTCATATATTTTTTCCATTCTTGGTTCAGCCGGTGATCCTCCCCCTAGAGCGACACGTGGTTTGCGGACTACCTCCTTCGATTTGGGAATGGAACCGAGGAGGTGAACAAGGAAGGACTCATAGGCCTTCCTTCGGATATTTGCGTGTCGTGCAAAGGGAATGAAACGGACCTCGAAAGGCTCATCGATACCGTGTTCCCCAACCTAAACGATAACCTGACGGACCCAAACTACATCACATGTAGGGCCATATTGTCCACTCGGAATGAGTTCGCCGATCGAATAAACGTGAAGATGATTGAGCGGTTTAGATGGGATGTGATGACATATCATAGTTTTGACCGAGCAAAGGATGACCCTCATAACTATTACCCGCCGGAATTCTTGAACTCTCTAACTCCAAATGGGCTACCTCCGCATGTGCTTAAGCTGAAGATAAACTGCCCCATCATGCTTTTGAGGAGCATTGACCCAGCCAACGGGCTTTGCAATGGGACAAGGCTGGTGGTTCATCAGTTCGGAAAAAATGCTATTGACGCGGAGATTGTTGTAGGGAAGCATGCTGGAAAGAGAGTTTTCCTTCCTCGGATACCTCTATGTCCTTCTGATGATGAGATGTTCCCGTTTCGCTTCAAGAGGAAGCAATTTCCGGTTAGATTGAGCTTTGCATTCACCATCAATAAGGCGCAGGGTTAAACCATTCCAAATGCAGGCGTCTACTTACTAGAGCCTGTCTTCTCTCATGGTCAAATATACGTCGCGCTGTCTAGAGCAACCTCTAGAACAAACATAAAAATACTATCGATGCCGGTAGAAGACAAGAAACAAAATAAAAAGTCTAAGCGTACTGGCGTGAAGGACAATGAGAAGAAAGGAAAGGAATTGTCTAAACAGGCTGCAACATACACAAAAAATATTGTGTTTAGAGAGGTCCTCACATATTAGAAAAGGTATATTATGTGACTAATTAACCGTCCACAATATGCTTGCTTAAATTCCATTCTTACTGCTGAGTGCTTCTTCACAGTTTAGTTCACGTATGGCTTTGTATGTATTAGGTGTTTTCTGAAGACGGTGAAATAAATCACCTATAAGATCTGATCTTTGGAGGATAATATCTTATGTTGAATATTATTATACTGAAATTCTGCGATTGCTTTGCACCTTTGTTCCTTAAAATATGTGATTCACTTGAATGCCATTAATTCCTAGCAGTACTTGTGCAACTGGCTGCATCAAAAATTATATTTTGTAAGATGTTTACATCTGAACCCCCTGTATATAAAACTTGCTATTGGAATCACTGTTGCAAATATATTGTGTCACTAGCCCGATTAGGATAGGAGAATTGCACAAATGTTTTATTTTTCCAAGTTATAACTGAAGTATATTAGGTTAATTTGAAACAACAGTGACTAAATGAGGTCCACATTTAATAATAGTGGATCATGCAATTTACCTGAAATTTATCTGAAGCATTCCATGGCTTTAGATAATACAAATACAAATTTATCTGAAGCATTCCATCTTCCATTTAATAATTGATTTTACTTTCTTAGATAGCTGGGGAGATGTCGGATTGCATCTTTGGCAATGGGGTGCTGTGCCTGGATTAGGAGCAAATTAAAACATTATTATGCTCTTGATCTATTATTGTCAGGATGACAAAGCAAGATGGACTATAGGGACCACTATTATTTTAACATTTAGGATTTGTGGATTTCTTTCATTTTTTGTTTTTTCTCTGACCATTTCTGCACTTTTGTCTATTCATATGCAAGATGGATAGACCCAGTAGAAGCATTGTAAGCGTGTGCAAGAAATGGTGAAGGGATGCATCTAGCACAAATTTCCTTCCTGATGAACATTCATTGTTAACAGTAGGTAATTGTATAAAATTAACTTACAATTCCATTTCAATCGCCATATAGGACTTCTTTGGAGAGGAGGAAGTTTACCAGATTTGAACTAATTTTTGTAAAGTCTTATGTTCCAAAGAAGCCCTGAAGCTAAAAGATGGCAAGTATGTGATGTGAACTTTGTGCGGTGAAATAAACCTGGAGCCTTTGATCTGCATATGTAGCTGTTGATTTTATAGATCGAACCCATTTATGCCTTTTGAATGCATGATCAAATTTTTGGTCAAATAAGGGTATCTATATAGTTAATGTGGACTGATGGCATATTTAATATATTAATAATATTTATTTGGTCAGTGTTTGACTTGACATACACTCTGAAACTGCATGTATAATAGAACTTGTATTTGTTTACAGATCTCTGTTTACTGATTTTAGACATTCAGTGGCATTTTAGTTCATTTTTCTTATCTTTCGCTGATCATTTGACCATATGTGGTTTTGTACTCTTTATCTGTGCACATACCTATGTTGCTGCTACTCATGATCAGATGGTAGTTGCATGATGATATATCATCAGTTGGAATTAGATTGTGAGAGAACTTGATGATTTAATTTCTGTACATTTTACTTATTTGTTTCAGGAATTCAGTGGGTTACAACTATGGTTCTCTGATCTGCTGACCTACTATCTTTCTTTTTTCTTGGTACATAATGCCTAGATGTTTGGGCTAAGAAACTAAATTGTGTCAAGCAGGGACTCCCGCTGACGCCGTCGCCGCCTCGCCCCTAACGACAACCGCTGAAGCCAAAGACCACCGATCCACGTCGAGGACCACCGAAGCCAGCAACACCCGCCTTGCCGATCTCCTCTGTAGCTGCTGCCGATCGTCGCCGCTGCCCACATCGCCGATCTACTCCGCGGACACCGTTTCATCTATACGAAATTTGACTTATGAAGCATAGCATATTGTGGTATTGCCTATGATTTTACTTGCAAGGAATAAAATATGCTCCGACAATAGTGTATTTAGGCGCCATTGTTTCGCAGTTGCTGCTGCTTTTCAGCAGAACTAGCCTGATGCTTATAAGCATCAGCTATTCCATTGTTTTGCTTATGGCTGATTACTGGATCTTCTATGAACTGATGCATTGCCTATGCTTGCCTGCCTCTGTGTGTGTTGTGTGCTTCTCAGCACTGACTCCAGATGCGTGCAGTCAGCTCTATTGTGTAGATACTAGATACTGGTGTTGGATTGAGAGGGTTGCATTTTGAAGTTACTTTGGTTGGCATGAAGCTATTGTGCAGATACTGTATACTTTTTTTTTTAAGAAAAAGTTGGATACTGGAGTTCCTGTGACTAATTGAAAATCATAGGTCTCTTGGATTGAGCCTTCCAAGCTTTGACAAGTTAGATTTGAGCGTGTTTGCATATTTCGTACGAGTACAGGAAAATATGCATTACATTTCCATGATACTAGAATATGGAGTAATCTGGAATTAGATGGTTTACGAAGAATGTGCTGATATTTTAGTGCTAAATAATTTTATCTTTTCTCTCTTTTTCTTTATATTGATCTTTAATCTATCTCGTGGATTAGCAACTGAAAAAAAAACTTATGCCAGAATATAAAAATGGCCGTGTTTTATATATTATCTTGACGGTTGATCTTTTGTAGATTCTTATACTAGTACGCCATGCTCGAAGTTTTATCGTGATTATAGTGGACCAAGAAAGTCAAACGCTCTATGTATTAGACCCAAATCCACTTATGCCAGAATATAAAAATAACCCAAACATGAGATACACCAGAAAACTGATAACTATTTGTGATCACTTCAACAAAGCTATGAAGAAGGTATGCCCTGGCTCTAGGTGGAATGAAGACATTAACTTGTGGAGGCAAGTATTTGTCAATAATCCGGTTTACAACAGGTAAGTTATCTTCTTACAAACTTGTTCAAACCAACAAATTTAACTGTGTAGAGAAAGGGAAGCTAACTCTTCAATTTCCTTAGGAGTTTATTGGGTTTTCTTGTTCATAATAAAGAACCACATTTGCCTGCAATTAATGTAAGTCGTAACAGGCATTGATTATTCATATATTACATTATTACATATTTACCAATATTTAACTTATTAAATACATGTGCAGGATGGTGACGAGCTAAGGAAACTTTTTTTTGATAAATCTACTGATGTACCAACAAAATGAGTATGAAAGCAACATCTCTAACGGCGCACAAGATTTTCTAAAGTGTATAAAAAATGCACAACATTAGGGTAGTTATTTAACTATATGGAACAACATTAGGGTACTTATTTAACTATAATATGGAGTGATTTAATTTGAGGTGGTCATCCATTAGAAATACCGTATCTATAAATGCTGGATGTTCGCTTTATTTGTATGACATCATCAAATTTTCATAGTCTTCTATCTATGTTGCTTTTTATAATTTAATAAACGCCATGAGATTGTTTTAAGCGCAAAAAAGGTTGCACTACGCTTCTGTAATGATAACATATATCTTGCTTTCAATTTAATCTCATAATAACTATAACATGTAGTTTCATTACGATGCCATATTTGTCATTTTGATGCCAGATTTTATCCCCCGTGATCAACAAAATTCCCCGTAGCAACGCACGGGCACCCTACTAGTAAAATAAAAAAAAGAGAGAGATCGGGAGCGAGAGAGAGAGAAGGGAGATCGGGAGCGAGAGGGGGGGATCGGGAGCGAGAGAGAAGGGAGGGAGAGAGAGAAGGGAGATCGGGAGCGAGAGAGGGGGATCGGTAGCGAGAGATCGGGAGGAGAGATTGGGAGGGGGAGGGAGGGAGGGGGAGAGGGGTGGATCAGAGGAGAAGGGGAGGGGGTATAGAATAACTATTCTATACCCATACCCCGGGTGTAAAATAGTCTTAACATATATATATATATATATATATATATATATATATATATATATATATATCACATCGCGGTATAGACTAGAACCTGATGCATTGAGTGCATATACGTCACTGGTGGAGAAACCATCTTTCGTCGGTCGGCCGATTTCCACAATAGTCCCGGATGCAATAAAAACCGGGGCTAAAGATGATCTTTAGTCCCGGTTCAAAAGGGAAACGGGCATATTTGATCTTTAGTCCCGGTTTGTGTTACCAACCGGGACTAAACATCATCTTTAGTCCCGGTTCGAATGCTGTCAGGACCTGTCAGGCCCCCCCGGGATCTTTAGTCCCGATTGGTAACACCAACCGGGACTAAAGATCTTAACTTTAGTCCAACCGGGGCTAAAGATCCCGGTGATCTTTAGCCCCGGTTGGTGTTACCAACCGGGACTAAAGATCTTAATGATCCCGGTGATCTTTAGCCCCGGTTGGTGCTACCAACCGGGACTAAAGTCCCACCCCTATATATATGTCTTCTTCCTCCTCCAGCTGCCCGAGCAAGCTTCAAAATTACTTCAAAAAAGAGGGGAGGTCATGCCAAAATTTCTATTGAATTTATTTTGGTGATTACATACAAATCGGAGGTGCCTAAAAGGTTTGCAACTTCATCCTCCAATGTTTTTTTTGTCATACTACATTTGCACCTATGTTTTGCACACTTTTTTTTGTCTCCAAAATTTAGTTGTAAGTTGATGAGAGAGAAAATGTGTGTGGGGAAGAAAGAATATATAGAAATTTAGTTCATTTGCTAAACAAGGTTTTATAAAATAGTTTAAAACTTTAAAAATAGTTTTTAAGAATTATTTGGTGTAATATTTTATGATTTTTGTATGAATAAAGATATCTTATAATTATTGTATGACTGTCATTATTGTAAGAATAATTATTTGTGTGCGGTTTTTTTGACTCATGTAGATGGATCGGCAATGGATGTACACTGACCGGCGGTCCAAAGAGTTTATTGACGGCGTGCACTATTTTTTGAGAGTGGCCGAAGCTAACAGGCAAAGGGGTTTTATTTGTTGTCCATGCAATAAGTGTAAGAATCAGAAGGAGTATTCTGCATCCAGAACTATTCATTTCCACTTGTTTGAGTCGGGGTTCATGCCAAGCTATAATTGTTGGACATCCCACGGAGAGCAAGGTGTTGAAATGGAAGAAGATGAAGTGGAAGACGACAATATTCCGGACTTTGCTCAGTATGTTGGATTTGAAGGAAATCAAACGGGCAAGGAGGAAATAGCTGCTGATGGTAACGACGTTGCGGATGATCTTGGTCAGATGTTGCAGGACGCTAGGGAGGACTGCGAAAGTGAAAAGGAGGCCCATAAATTGGACAAGATGTTGGAGGACCACAGAACTTCGTTGTACCCAGGTTGCGAGCAGGGGCACAAAAAGTTGGATACCACTCTGGAGTTGTTGCAATGGAAGGCAAAAAATGGGGTTAGTGACAAGGCATTTGGCGATTTATTGAAACTCATTAAGAACATTCTTCCGGGGGGAAACAAATTGCCCGAGACAACGTACGAGGCTAAGAAGATAGTCTGCCCGTTAGGACTGGAAGTTCATAAGATTCACGCATGTCCGAACGATTGTATCCTATATCGCGGTGAGGAGTATGAGAACCTAGAAGCATGCCCTGTTTGCAAAGCACTACGATACAAGATTAGACGGGACGATCCAGGAGAAGTTGACGGGCAGCTAACAAAGAAGAGAATTCCTGCTAAGGTGATGTGGTATTTCCCTATAATACCACGGCTAAGGCGTTTGTTCACGAACAAGGGGAATGCTAGAATGTTGCGATGGCACGCTGAAGAGCGTCAACAGGACGGGATGCTGAGATACCCCGCCGATGGTTCGCAGTGGCGAAACATCGACAGAAAATTTAAAGAATTTGGAAAGGACGCACGAAACATACGGTTTGGTTTGAGTACGGATGGCATGAATCCTTTTGGAGAGATGAGCAGCGGCCATAGCACTTGGCCCGTTACGATGTGTATCTACAACCTCCCCCCCTGGCTATGCATGAAGAGGAAGTACATAATGATGCCGATTATTATTCAAGGCCCCAAGCAACCTGGTAACGACATCGACGTGTACCTAAGACCACTGGTCGAAGATCTTAAACAGTTGTGGAAGAAGGAAGGTGTCCCCGTGTGGGACGAGGACAAACAGGAGGAGTTTAACCTACGAGCGCTGCTGTTCGTAACCATCAACGATTGGCCTGCACTTAGCAACCTATCCGGACAGTCCAACAAGGGGTACAAGGCTTGCACTCACTGTATGGATGAAACAGAAAGTACGTATCTTAAGCACTGTAGGAAGGTTGTATACATGGGTCATCGTCGATTCCTTGCAGCAAACCACCCGGTACGGAAGAAAGGCAAGCACTTCGAACATAAGGCCGACCACCGTACGAAGCCTAAACATCGCAACGGGAAAACAGTGTTTGCTATGGTTAAAGATCTTAAAGTAGTGTTCGGAAAGGGGCCTGGAAGCCAGCATATAGAGAGCGAAGATGGTCACGCGGCGATGTGGAAAAAGAACTCTATATTTTGGGAGTTACCATATTGGGAATTCTTGGACGTACGCCACGCAATCGACGTGATGCACCTCACTAAGAACCTTTGCGTAAACCTTCTTGGCTTCCTAGGTGTATACGGAAAGTCGAAAGATACACTGGAAGCACGTAATGATCTGAAGCATATGGAACAACGCGGCGACCTTCACCCGGAAACAAAGGAGAAAGGAAGCCATTACTTGAGTCCAGCCAGCTACACTCTTAGCAAGGCAGAGAAGGAAAGTATGTTTGAATGCTTGGAGAGCATAAAGGTACCGTCTGGATACTCCACGAATATCAAGTGAATAATAAGCACGAAGGAGAAGAAGTTCACAAACCTAAAGTCTCATGACTGTCACGTGTTGATGACACAACTGCTACCAGTTGTAATAAGGGGTATCCTTCCAGACAATGTCCGGGCAACAATAACAAAGATATGTGCATTCATGAACGCAATTTCGCAGAAGGTCATCGATCCGGATAGATTAGAAGCCCTTCAGAATGAAGTGGTGCAATGTCTCGTCAGTTTTGAGTTGATATTTCCACCTTCATTTTTCAATATAATGACGCATCTGCTTTGTCACCTTGTGAAAGAGATCTGTATTCTCGGGCCTATGTACCTACACAACATATTTCCTTTCGAGAGGTACATGGGCGTTCTGAAGAAGTATGTTCGTAACCGTGCTCGTCCAGAGGCAAGCATCGCCAAGGGTTATGGAACAGAGGAGGTCATCGAATTTTGCGTAGAATTTATCGAAGACCTTCGCCCAATCGGGGTACCTGAATCACGCTATGAAGGGAGACTACGGGGAAAGGGAACTCTCGGAAGGAAAGCAATAACGACGGT